CCTACATGTTCCCTGAATACTTTTCCCACTGCAAAACCAAATTCAAAGAAGGACGTTTCTTTTTGTATAAATAGTGCAGATGAGGTATAATTTAGCTAAAAAAAGGAAGCTCAGAAGATGTGCAGTGCCTACCATCACACCTATTTGTGGATCTTGAAATGAATGTATTTGGTTTAGCCATTGGAACACACTTAATTTGCACATCTCTGAATGCTTGCTACACATTGCTCTCTGTTTATCGTATTAGTAGCTGTATGTGGGTATATATATATTTATCTGAAGTCCAGCTGATTCATTTCTGCTCTTAATCTGTCCCCAGAATAAAACCCTGGATACTTCAAAATTGTAGTCTCTTGAAAGTAAAATGGTACACATACACTCTTTTCTCTAACTGTGATTAAGACAGAAAACCAGAAAAGACATGGAAGCACAAAGATAACACTTTCTGCCTCCTGCTTCCTAAATCTGAAAGCTCTGGTTTGTTTGGCAGTCCTCCTGAAGCCGTACAGTTGAGGATCCTGAAGCATGGAACAGCCTGCACGTACAAAGGAAATCTAAAAACCAGGTGGCCCGCCTCCCTGCAGCTCACAGACACGTAGGAGCAGCTCCAAAGGACCTCAGCTCCCAGATGGCAGCCTGCAGGCGTGGCTCGTGTCCTGGTCCTCAATGCATCTGGGAGAGAGAGGCCAGAGCCGCGTCCCTCTTTCAGGGGACTGACACAGGACCAACCCCCAAATCCACCACAGATGGGCCCCTCTGCACTAATGCACTTCATCAATCCATCATTCTTCCATTTGCTTTGTCCCAAATTAACAATTAAAAGCCTTCTTGAAGCCAGCAAAAAAAGCCACACAATCCAGAAACTATTGTGTTTCGCACAGCGCTGAGATGCTGCCATTGCCTGCATAACTTAATGTAAATTGTTTGCACTTCTGAGTGGCTGAGCATCAGCTCCTCCTCTCCACATGCATTTTTGCCATACACAGTCTTAGTAAGTCTTGAATTTTTATTTACAGACTGGAAACCTACCAAGATTTTCAACTTTTTCACTCTCAAAGTTTACTCGTGTCACCTATTACTGTGCTGTTTCCAAGTGAAGGATGAAAAACAGGCCCGTCACTGAGAAACACAAAGTTTTCCACAAGAGGAGACACCACAAACTTAGAAAGATGACTTATGTGAATGAATGACGCATTTCTAAAATATTTATCTTTCTGTTCAATAAACAGATTGTGTCAGACTTGAGGAGTAAAAGCCTGAATAAAACGATTTTTAAAAGCAACCAAGAGTACAGCACTGCTGCGTTGGCCACTGAGCTCTATTGGGATGTATTCACATTAAACATATCCTACACGTTTGCTCTTCAACAGTAAAACTGGGCAGACAACTTCACACCTATTAAAGACATTGCAACACCAACAAGCCGGTATGTGGGTGGAGGCTACTCTCCATAAAATATAAATGCAGTGTATGAATCAAAGCCAGAAAACTCACTGAATTTGAGTTATTTCAACTTTACAGCCTGCATTATGCAGTCTAAGAGTATTCCCACAGAATTAAAAGTAATCTTAACTTTTGCACTTGCAATACAAAAATAATATAACAGAATGGCTGATTGGAAGGGAGCCCACCCAGTCCCATCCCGTGCTGTGGGGCCCCAGCAGCTCAGCTGCCCAGGGCCCCATCCAACCTGGCCTTGAGCACCTCCAGGGATGGGGCACCACAGCTTACATGGGCAGCTGTGCCAGCGCCTCACTGCACTCTGAGCAAGTGTGTGTCTGTATTCTTAGTGTCTATATGCACGAGGACTATCTAGGGATCTCATCACTATACCTACCAGTATTTTAACAAGTTTATTTTTATACGAAAGGCTTAGGAACATTTTAAATTTTTTTCTTTTTCTTTTTTTCTTTTTAACTTGGAAAAAGAAGATGGAAGAAAGAGCAATCACGTTGGTCTTATGCACAGCTCTTCAGCCCCTCCTCCCCAGGGCTGTCCCTGCAGGGCAGTAATCGTATGTTTTTCCATCCATGCGTTTGCATGTCCACTGTTTCCTTAACCACACTCAAGTTCCTACTGACTCACCCAGACCGGACACTTGTGCAGGATACATCTCCTTAAAAGAATGCTTCCATGGGACGTGGGTGAAGTGAAGCAGAAAGAGAAATGCTCCCTGTTGATAGCTGGGGGTGGCAAGGCGTCAGTGGAAGAAAATATTACTCATAAGTGAGTCTGGCAGCTGCCCAGGCTGAACTACTGAAGGTGCACCAGTATTCTGCTAGGCAAGAAATGAGCCTCCCTCGTCTAAAAATACAGCATTAAGTAGGAAGCAGACAAGTTTGTACAATAAAGGTATTTCTGCTTCAGAGAGCAAATAAAGCCTTTTACAAGGAATTTAACAACTCCATTTTTTCAAAACTTTCTTGAAGCGACAGAGACTGTTTTCTCAGCGTGGCGAGAAACAGGACCTGAAGGCATTGGCAACCTCTCTGCAAACTGGAGGAGGGAATGAAAGAAAATAGCTCATGTTTTTTTCCTAGAACAGTTTAATAACAGCAAATCTCCTGGAAGCAAACCAGACGGGATTATTTTGCTAACCCGACCACATTACATTCTACAGCTACAAAACACACACTAGCAGAAATTTTTGAATACGCAAACCTTGAAGTAGAAATGTGAGAGCTATTTCATATCGCTGGCCAAAAAAAGTCTTGTAAACACTTGAAAGCTTGGAAGCTCGTGCCCAAGTTTAACAGGAAGGGAAGATAAATCTTCAGCAGGCATCACCAATGGTGGCATAAATGATGTAAGTCATGGTGTCCCCACTCAGTGTTCTCATCTTCTCTGTGCATGGGAACCCCAAAGCAGAAGAAATGCTGGAGAAGAGGTGCCAGGCACCACTAAGGCCACCAGCCTACCCAAGGAGTGGGGCAACAGCACTGCAGGGGCTCAAGGATGAGCTGTGCCCAAAGCCAGGGAGGGAGTTGAGCTCATGGCCCCTCTCTGCTTCTGCTCCTGGGTCTCACCCAGAGCTCCTCCAAAACTGCAGGAGCCACCAAGTTTCTGCAAGGGTGAAGCCAAAAAGGAGAGGTTCCTCAAGCTATCTGCTTATGGAAAAAACATAACATCCCAACACAGAGGCACCAGAAGAGCTACAGCCATCAAGACCTAAGAGGAAAGCGTGCAAGTTGTTGGTCTCACACTCTGTCCTGGATTTAACAGGATAAATATTTACGTAGGGACCACCCTCGAGCTGAGCAGCTCCTAAGGAGTGGCAGTAATGACTGTACTGAAGCTGGCACAAATATTTGTATTAACCGTATGATTTTTGAGAGCCCCACTGCTCCCACAGATGCAGGTGGCCAACACTGTGTCTTGCCGGCTCCCCAGTAACCTCAGAGCCACACCGATTTGGCTTCAAGCCACGAAGCACACCAAACTAGAGTGGTTATAGAAACAGGATAGGGAACTGCATGAGATAGTCCAGAAAACTTACTCTTACCAAAGTACTTTTAATTCCGATTTCTCCAGAGTGGTTTAGAGGGAAACAAGAACACTCAGATATACCGTATTGCACACAACCCAAGAAGTATGACGTACTTCAGAGAGCACTGCAATGCTTCTGCTGCAACAACACTTGAACGTTTAAGAAGAAAGAAGGAAAAAGCCAAGACGAGAGATAGCAACAGCTTGGTCATAGCTTCAGGAGCCTTCCCATCTGCCTTCTGATCCATCTGCCTCCATCAGTCATTGACCTGTGACCACGCATGACCCCAACACTAAGGAGTAGTGTCTCAAAGAGCAACGTGCAGTCCTGATTTGAGAGAAATGCTTTCAGAGGGTGTCCCACATCACCGATACAAAGCAAGAGAGCACATCCCTAGGGCTGTGCTGCTAGGAAGATGCCAATGCCCAAGCAAAACACAGCATTATCACTGAAAACCAGTGCCACAGTCACTGGAAAGGTAAGTCAAAAGCCTTTCTCTCTCTCCCTCATTTAACAACTCTGTAGAGAATGGCTGAGAAGCAGCACTGTTTTCAATTATTTTTTCCATTTAAAGTAATGGCAGTGCAGGAAGTCAGAAGGATATTTACCAGCATTTGTGCTCTCTGCTTTTCCACTTCAACCTGCAAAGAAGCAGTAGGAAGCTGGAGCTGACCACAGGAAGGTTCCTTTTTTCCAGTGTGTGTCAGAAAGCGTGCTCAGGTCACTGCCCATCAATTACTAATCAGCAGGCAATGGAACTGCTCACAATTCCTCTAAAAGGACCTCTCGCTCTGCTCCCAACCACTGCTGGAAGAGCAGCTGGGGCTCAGCCACTCCTTCAGCCCTATGGACAGCACGCAGTGAGCCAAAAGCAGCAGCTGGGCTCAAGCTGAACATCCACTGTTCACAAACACAACTCAAGAGCCCGTTTTAGGCAAACTCACACACTTTAAGAGCTTGCTCATCCCCATTAGTAGCCAGAGGTACTTCAGGGTTGTGAGGCAGATTGGAGCTACACCAGCATTTGTCCTCTCAGGGGGCTTTCAGCCATTTTCAGCTTTACAACCCTCTGTCATGAGGAGTGCCATTCAGGGAGATGCTCAAGGCCAGGTTGGATGCAGCCCCGGACAGCCGAGCTGGTGGGAGACAGCCCTGCCCATGGCACGGGTTGGGACTGGGTGGGCTTTAATTTCCAACCAACACCATCTGTGATTCCACGATAAAACGGCCTTAATTTGTATCACTGGGTCTTCCCAAGGGACAGCTTCTGAACTTAAAGACAAGCACAGGCAGCTCTACCTGGATGAGGCACTTGCTGACATCGCTGGCGCACAGTGCCTTGTTGCAGCCCACTGACGAGCGGGCCCACACCAGCAGCAGCAGCAGCAGCAGGGATGTACTCAGCGCTGCACACGGTGACCTCATTGTTCCAGCGGTTTGCAGACGGAGCTCAACCAGCACTAAAACCATTTTTGACCACCGGGAAAAAAAGAGAAAAAAAAAAAAATCAAACATGAAGGAGGCACGATAACAAACCCGACCGCTCCTCCTCTGCCGGCAAACTTCTCCGTTTGAAACTTCTCTGCTGTTGCGCTCACGCGTTAAAACCGCACTGCATTTCAGGTGAACGAGGTCAGGTTCGTAACATCAGATCTGACGGCCTATGAGCAGCGACAAATAAAACGCAGCAGCGAAGCCCTAACCGCGAAGGCACCGTCCGGGCAGACACCTCGAGCCATCGCACAGAAACGAAGCTGCTACGTCAGCGTCGATTCATTAAAGCGAAGCTCCCGGGGGCTCCGAGCGGCGCATTCTACAGGAGCGACGCCGCGAGGGCTCAGACCGGCAGGAGCGGAGAGCGCGGGTCCGCAGGAGGTTCCCCGCCGCCCGCGCGTGCCCCCGAACCCGGGCCGAGGGCCGGAGCCCGGCACACAGCCCACGTTTGGGCAGAGCTCGCGGCGGGCCCGCATTGTTCTCACGGGAGGGAAAGGCAGACGGGCACGGGATGGCCGCCGCGCAGCGCCCGGCGCCGCCGCCCCCGCCCCCCCGCCGTCGGCACCCCCGGGCCTCAGGTGCGGCCCGCAGCCCGACAGGGAAGCACGCGGCGGGCCGCCCGGCCCCGGCCCCTCCATCAGGGAGCGCCCCGCCGCGCCGCCCGGCTCCGGGGCACCCGCGGGGCCCTGCGCCGCCCCTCCCGGCCTCCTCCGGCGGGCAGCGGAACGCTCCTCACAAAGCCGCCGCCTCCCCGCCGGCTCCATCCTCCGGCGCCGCGCCTCCGCCCCTCGCCCCCCTCACCGGCCGGGCGGCCCCGCTCCGCCGGCGGCTCCGGCTGCTCCGCGGGCGGCTCCGGCGACCGCGCGCCTCAGCTCGGCCGCGGGCAGCGCGCGGGCGGCGGCAGCGCGGGCTCGCAGCGCGCACACGGCGCAGGGCCCCGCCTCGGGGCGCCGCAGGGCCCGCCTCTCGCTCCGCGCCCGCCGCTGAGGGGAAGCCGAGCGCGGCCCCGGCGGGCGGGAGGGCTGTGCGGGGGAGAGGGAGCGGTCTGCTCGTGCTACAAAGATGCAGGAGGAGCCGTCGCCTGACGATGCGCTTAGTAGCAGCCTAATTAAGTGCCGGGCAGCAGTGTGGCTTTTGTGTCGGTGCGCAGAGACCGCTGCGGAGCTCCGGGGCCGCCGAGTCCGACGACCGCCGCGGTGGTTGTGGAGAGCCGCTAGGCAGGACCCGGAACGCAGCCGGGCTGCCGGCCGGGTGTTGCCCCCACGTAGTGATCTGGGAGATGAAAACACAGTGAATGCTGCTTTGTGCAGAGCTGTTGTTTTCAAGGAATCACAGAATGGTTTGGGTTGAAAGGGACCTCAAAACCCACTCTGTCCCACCCCAGCCACAGGCAGGGCTGCCCCCCAGCAGCTCAGCTGCTCACAGAATCACAGAATCACAGAATCACCCGGGTTGGAAGGGACCTCAAGGATCATGTAGTTCCAACCTCCCTGCCTAGCAGGGCCACCAAACGTACACATTCAGATCAGGTTGCCCAGGACCCCGTCCAACCTGGCCTTGAACACGTCCAAGGACGGGGCATCCACAACCTCCCTGGGCAGCCCGTTCCAGGGCCTAACTACTCTCCTTGTGAAGAACTTCCCCCTAACATCCAACCTAAATCTTTCCTCCTTCAACTTGGATCCATTTCCCCTAGTCCTGCTATTGTCAGCCCTTCTGAAGAGTTTACTCCCCTCCTGGGTGTAGGTTCCCTTCAGGTATTGATAGGCTGCAATGAGGTCACCCCGCAGCCTTCTCTTCTCCAGGCTGAACAAGCCCAACTCCCTCAGCCTGTCCTCATAGGGGAGGTGCTCCAGCCCCCTGATCATCTTAGTCGCCCTCCTCTGGACCCTTTCCAAGATCTCTATGTCTTTCTTGTACTGAGGGCTCCATACCTGGACACAGTACTCCAGGTGGGGCCTCACAAGAGCCGAGTAGACAGGGACAATTACCTCCCTCTCCCTGCTGACCACCCCTCTCCTGATGGAGCCCAGGATCCCATTTGCCTTTCGAGCTGCCAGAGCGCACTGCTGGCTCATGTTCAGTCTCTCGTCCATCAGGACCCCGAGGTCCTTCTCTGCCGAGCTGCTCTCAAGGCCCACTCCTCCCAGCCTGTACGGGTGCCTGGGGTTCTTCCGGCCCAAATGCAAAACCTTGCACTTTGCCGTGTTGAACCTCATTAGGTTCACCCGAGCCCAGCCCTCCAGCCTGTCGAGGTCCCTCTGAATGGCATCCCTTCCTTCCACCGTATCAACCGCACCACTCAGCTTGGTGTCGTCAGCAAACTTGCTGAGGGTGCACTCAATTCCCTCATCGATGTCATTAATAAAGATGTTAAAGAGCACCGGTCCCAAGACAGACCCTTGGGGGACACCACTTGTTACCGGCCTCCACCTGGACATAGAGCCATTGACCACCACCCTCTGTCTGCGGCCTTTCAACCAATTGCTTATCCATCGGGTCGTCCACCCATCAAATCCACTTCCCTCCAATTTGGAGATGAGGATGTGGTGGGGGACCATGTCAAAGGCCTTGCTCAGGGACCCATCCAACCTGGCCCTGAACACCTCCAGGGATGGGGCACCACAGCTTACACGGGCAGCTGTGCCAGCGCCTCACCACCTTCTGAAGGGAGTATTTCCTTCCAACATCTAACCTAAACCTTCCCCTTGTGCTATTGCTATCAGCATCCGTGTAAAAAGTCAGACCTCTTCTTTTTATAATCTCTCTTTAAGTACTGCAAGGCCACAATGAGGTCTCTCTGGAGCCTTCTCCAAGCTGAAGAAACCCAGCTTCCTCAGCCTTTCTTCGTAAGAGGTGCTCCAGCCCTCTGATCATCTCTTTGGCCCCCTCCTGGACCTGCTCCAACATCTCCATGTCCTTCTTGTGCTAGGGCTCCCAGGCCTGGATGCAGTACTATAGATGGGTTCCCACAAAAGCAGAGCAGAGGGCAACAATCCCCTCCCTCTCCCTGCTGGCCACCCCTCTTCTGATGCAGCCCAGGATACTGCAGGAGTACACTACTGGCTCACGTCTAGCTTTTCATCCACCATTACTCCCAAATACTTCTATGCAGGGCTGTTTTCACTGTATTCTTCTCCCAGTCTGTATACATACATACCTGTGACTGCCTCAACCCAAGTGCAACAAGACCGAAATAACGTGTTTCATCCCTGGAGGAAAACCCAGGAGGAACTCAGCAGCGCCTGGCTTTCCTGGAAGTAGCTGTCCCTCAGGAGGGAGAAGCAATGCTACGTGGCAGCCATCCCTCACACTCAGCTCCAACTTGCATTGCTTGGTGGAAATAATGGAAATACACTCTGGAGATCATGCTGCAGCACAATCCTAGAAAAGCACAACTGGAACACAGCTTGGATCCAGGTCACAGAGGGCAGGAGAGTGTGTGGTGTATGGGACCACAACGTGGGTGCCAACACTTTGGACAGTGGGATGTTCAGTAGTTGGCATCAACTGAAAACAACCTGTGTGAAATGGTTAACAGGAAGTTATCTCTCCTTGTTCAGGAAACACAGGCAAGCTAAACCTGACAAATAACCAGATTCAGACCTCCTCATAAGGTAAATTGTCAATTTTAATTAACCAAAAAATGTATAATCCTTTCATTTGTCATGCTGTGAACTGCCTTACTCCAGCCAGCTCTGATGCTTACATTTGCAATTCCCTTACTCTGTTTGGTTCTATGGTATCAGTAGGGTGGTCTTGCATAAAAGCAGGAGCTTCCCCTTCCTCCAGTACCTAGCAAATTAAAAGCGGGGGGGGGAAAAAGAGCTTCAGGGCAGGAGCTACCTGTGAATTTGTGCTTAATCCAGTATTACTGCGCTCGTGTTACTATCACTTTATTCTTGACTGCAGCCTGCAGTGACGTGCAGCTGGAAGGAGTCTGTTGTCCACAGCCTCTAGCTCAGCATCAAAATGAAGGAGTCCTGGGCGTTCACATAAGCACAAGGAGCAGCAGTTCACCTGGTATTTAAAAATCAGTTCAGAGCAAGTACTTTAATCTCTTTTGCAGGTAACCATCCCTCTTCCATAAAGCCCCATTTCTTCCTGAAGTAATTTCACAGACATCAGATCCCAAGCACTCTTGAATAATTGATGGCCTAGGCTGTAACAAATCTTTTTCATGAATATCTATAACCTCCTGCCACCAATAAATAATTAACTGTTCATTAACAATACTAGGGATACAAAAATGTTAAAACAAAAGCTTTTCATTTTTTTAGTTTTTAATCGATTCTCCCTACATATTTCCTATCACGGGAACGATGAGATTTGATCATAGTACCAAGTGTTACAATATTAAAAAATTCCAACCAGTAACATGACCAATAAAATTTATTAAACATTATATTTACAACTATTTACATATCCTTCCATAGATTAATATTAAAATAGACAATATACAATTTAGAATTTTCATTCAAAGGCATTTTGTTGGAAAAAATAGGCTCTATTACGAGACCACCATAAGAGAAAAAAAGTTGTTGCTTTTTTTTTTTTCTTTGTTTGCTTTGTCTTTGTTTTACACAAAAATATTTTCAGCATAGTAAGTCATAGGTGTGGCGTGACAACAGCAGACCAACATGAAGTATGGTTTTGTAAATGCTACAGTTGTTCAGGTTTCGGTTATTGAAGTCAAGGAGCTGGGGGTTCTGTGAAGCATGCAACACGGGTCAGTTTCAACTCTTTTACAGTTATGGTGATGAAACAAGCAGCTAAATCAAACACATGCCATAGTAAAAGAACTGCCAACCAGGAACACACTACACTTAATAAAAACGACAACTTTGGTCCAATAAAACATTAGACAAAAACAGTTTTACAGTTAAAATATCTATTTTGTACAGGTTTGAACATTAATTACAAGACTATTTACATTTGCACAATATGTATAAAATAAATTATTTAAAAATGAAGACAATATTACATCTTTTTCCAAAAAGAAAAAAAACTATACAGTAATTTACAAAATACAATAAGATTAATAGACTATTTTCCTCCAAGTCTGATTTTTCTTCTACAGACTTTTCATCTTATTTCCCCCCCCCCGTAGCAGTCCCACTGTTACCCAAGTTTCATGATACAAAGCTTCCTAGCAGATTTTAGGTATCATTTTGTTTTGGTGGCTGTTTGTGTTACAGCTGCCAGCGCTGTTAACTCACCATGTTTCATCATCCTTGTCAGCAGTGAGCCCTGAAGCCATAGGCAATTTTGAAATACAGGTAATGCTATTTTCTGGGAAACTGACTTCAGAATAAGCGTCCATCTCTGTGTTGTGAACAAGACCCCATGCCACATTTTTCTGAATAGTTATTGGGAAAGGCAGTATTCTACATTAAGTGTTCATTAATAAAGTGTTCTGTCTTAAAAGAAAAATACCTTTGTGAATCGCTGCACCTCAGTCTCTGGCAGTCCAAAGGCAAAAGCCAGTAAGTACTGGTTGTCATATTGGTGTCAATTCAAAGTCGTCATTAACATCAACAAGAGGAACGTAGAATTCCTGAATTTCATAAATGCTGATGGATTTGTACGTAGCAGGATCGAGTTCTTGTAGTTTAAGCTGCCACTCCAGTCTTTGTACTGCATTTAAAGCTGCTGCTTCATGCTGCTGCCTCATCAAAAGGCACGTCTGTTTTGGAATGCAGAAGGAAGTTATTTCAATATCAGAAAATGCTGCAGCACGAGCTTCAAAACAGAAAAGACATCTACGAGCCTCTTTGTGGCAGCACCTGCCCCAAGTCTCTATTCAAATAATCAGATTATTCCATCACAAAGCTCGTGTTTTTGTTTTGTTTTTGTTTTTAATATTAGCAGACCTTCTTCCATGTTGCCTTTATAACGTGGAATCATGGAATCATTTGAGTTGGCAGGCATCTTTAAAAGCCATCCAAGTCCAACTCCCCTGCAACAAACAGGGATATCTACAATAA